GTAAGTGGCCGAGAGATTACAGCGAAGCCACCCGGAGACAGAAGGCCCTGCTCAGGCCCGTCCAGTGCAGCCTCCCATCTGCAGACAGGCGGGGTCTCAGCACCCTCCCCACCAGGAAAGGCCATGTCAAAAGAGCAAAGGCTCTTTACCAAGGGTTCTCCAGTGCTGAGGTGAGGGGGTGGGAGGAGGGGAGGCCCACGCTTGGGTCACAGGCAATGTCACCGTCAGAACCGCCCACAAAGACGGACACTTGATTCCAGTCCCCGTTTCTCAGCAGCAATTGTTGAGCGGTACCCCAAATCACACTGCCAGGACAGTTTAAAGGCCAAAATCTGCAGAGAATTCACTTTCACAAAGAAGTCAACAGCAGATTTAGGCCAGTCCCTAGCATGTCACCCCAACTCATCTGCACCCCGCACAGGCGCCCCCGCGGGGGTGGTGGAACGACAGCTCCCGCTGCAGACGGCGCACCTGCCACGGCGAGATCACAGAGCTCAGTGCCTGAAAGTGAGAGCTAGCATGCTGATTTATTTTTCCTAGAAAAATGACAATTTCTTCAAATTGCTCCGTGGCCGGTTACCTGCCCCACGTGCTCTCTCATGCACACATGAAAGGCGATTCCAGTCACCTGCCAAGTGCCTTGGATGCTAAAGGCGGGCGCATGTTGCACGCTCTGCAGAGGCACAGCCTAGACACACGTGCGGGAGTGTGTGCAGCGAGCTGCGCCTGTCAATGTCCCTTCGGAAGTGTTCCTCTGAGCAAAACCATGAGAGCCCCGTCCACGGCGAGCCCCCGGCAGGGGCAGCACCACCATACGGAGCCGCAGGGACGCAGACGGGCAGCGCAGGCGAGGGGATCCAGGAGGCAGGCAGCCAGCACAGCGGCCCCAAGCGGCTCCCGACTCGTCGCTGCACATTAATGACCTTCTGGTGGCCAAGCGCCGGCTACTGGCTTAAAGCCAAAGGGGGCATCTTCCGTGCCCCAAGTGCAAGGCCAGTGGCCCCGGAAGGACTGAGGTCAAACACGTGATGCAGAAGCCCCTGGGCAAGGTGCCATCTTAGCCACAGGGTGAGCCCCGCATCCTGCAGAAGGGGGCAGGTGCCACGCCCCACGTGGACTTTGCTCTCTCTACACAGCCAATGGCGTGTGACGTGCACCAAGGCACCGTGAGCGTGGCAATGAGCGGGCTCTAACGTGCCGCACCTCACCTCCTGGAGTGCGGCCATGTTTTCTAAACATCTTAGTGCACGTAGCACTTTCAGACGTCAGTCCACCAGGTACTAAAACCAGGGAAAGCGAGGCTTTGGCTGGGTGGGAAGCCCATCCCTCTGCTGGGAGGGCAAAACCGCAGGCCACACCCTATGCCTGCAAGCACAGTGCCCTACCTCTAAGGATGCGGCATGCTAGGAAACGTCACCTGGGCAAAAATAAGGTGGACTGTATAGGATCGTTTCTAAAGACACATGTGTTACAGTTTGGGATTGTCCTGGTGGAGAGATATGGGAGGAAAAGTTCAAACAAAACAAGCAAAACCTCTCCCTACACAGAGAAGAGAATGGCCAAAGACTCGCCCTCCAGAGAGCAGCTGGTGCCGAAGAGCAAGGGCAGGAATCCGAGCTGCATCCAGTGGGCGAGCGACGGTCCAGCCAGCCACTGAGGAGCTGGCCATGCCGACGTGACGCAGGTGAACGTGACGCAGGTGAACGTGACGCAGGTGAACGACCATCACTACCTTCACTTCAAGTCAAGAAAAGAAGAGAAGGAATGAGGTCCACCCAGAGAAGTAATTTTTAGGACTTGATCAGACCAAAGAATTTCCCTCGACCCAGTTCTAAATTTCACTTCTTCAATAGTGAAAGAAAACGTTGCGTTTGCTCGCTGGGGCCCCTTCCAGCCACCGAGAGTCACGGGACAGGGCACCCTCAGAAGGCTACTGAGCCCGCTTTGGCAGCCAGCAAGACACGAGCCACGTCGCCCCCCGAAGACAATTGTCTACCCATCCTCAGAGGCCCAGAGACGAGGCAGGACCCACACAGGACCTCGGGCGCCTGCTCAGGCCACACAGGTGCCGAGAAAAGTGGGTCTGCGGAAATCCAGAGAAGGTTCTGAACGGGTCGGGACTCCGGAGGGCTGCCCTAGGAGACAAAGCTCAGTGAAGCAGCAGAAAGGAGAGGTGACCAGCCGTTTCCTCCAGCAGAGTTTTGTCAACAACAATCAGAACAGCAACTGGGAGTTTACAGAACTGACCAAGAGCAGCCTCCTCACCCCTCTCCTGCCCTGGGGGCCTATGACAGTCAGAGCAACTGGCCCACTGATGGTCAGGGCTGCTGGGCTGGTGTTTTGGAAGGGGAGGAGGGTGACGGGGCAAGAGAGACAGCACAGTCACTGCTTGGGTGCAAGAGAGAAGAGAGGCGACTCGTGACAGCGCGTGGTTCAGAGATTTCCACACTATCTCTTGCCAGAGTCACAGCCTTTATAAGGTACAGCAACAGAAATGAAAACCAGGCCCTCCTTCCCAGACAATAAAGCAAAACAAGAAAGCAGACCCCAAATCCAGTCACCTGTCGATGTCACTTGCACCGAACTACCCAGCCTCTTCTGGCCTAATTTGCTTTTTAATGAAGGGAAAAATTACGCCAACATGGTCATCCAGTTCTGGAGACAATAAGCTTTGCCTTCAGCAGCCACGCTTAGCCCTCTCGCTGGAGAAACAGGCAGCTTTCGTTAAGGAATTTTATGGAAAATACCTACTCGGTTCAAAACAAAACCAAATTTGACAGGGTGGCCCCCAACACAGGGATCTCTGGTCCCCAAGACCCGGCTTCAAGTTCCACATAAGCCATCACGAAGCCCTCCCCACGGTCCCCCCACAGAACTGGCCTTCTCTGAGTCAGACTCTTGCTGGGCCGGGGGTTCTGCTGAGGTGCCTGAGCTTGTGTTCCCGGGTACAAATGCCTTTCCTTCCCCGAGTTAAAGATGTCAATTAGGGATCAGTTCTCAAGAATCACTTGAGGAAGCAGCTTAGTTTTCTTCTTGTACCATGTGTTTCTCCCGAGAAGCCGGCCACCCGCCTGAGAAGCACCCCTGTGGAAGGTGACTCAGGCTGAGCGCTGTGGGGCTTCCCTGGCGGGGGCGGGGGGGTCGTCTGGCGTCTGCAGCACCTCGTGACTCGCTCAGCCTGACGCCCCTGCACAACATTCATCCTGCTCTAGCCCTCGCAGCCCGCAGCAGGCTTCTGTGTCCGGCACCCTCCCTCTGCCACTCCCAAAAGGCCAAAGAAGCTCACGCAAGTCCACGGGACTCGGCTGGTGCCCTCATTTAATCAGACTGCTGCAAAGAGCTGGCCAGAAGCAATAAGGCCATGACTGAGAGACTGTGGGAGTTTAATATAAAAAAATTAATAAAAAAAAGAAGGGAAGGAGAGAGGGTCTACCTTTTAATAGGGCCCTAATTACCCAACTCACAGGATCAGCCCAAATGAGATGGGAGTTTATTTCGGGGTTTTTTTTTAATTATTGTTTTTTTATATATATATAAATTGCTGCTGTGTGTTTTCTTTCCTCTGAGCAATTATGCAGCAAGTACGTAAAGAGGAGAAAAAATATTAATTAAATATAAGGTAATTGTAGAGTTGGCCTGGAGAGAACGAGTCTGAACTCTGGGCTACTGGGTCTGAAGACTGCTCAGGGCCTCCCAGAAAAGAAAGAAATAAAAACACAGCCCACCAACTAGCAGATGCTCGGGGCAGCAGGGAAGGAGCAGTGTCCAGAAACAGCAGCAAGGGGTCTGCAGGGCTCTGGACATCCAGAAACCAGCAGGTGCAACCACCAGGCTCACGGCTGGGGGACCCCTGAGGGTTAACAGACCAAGACCTGGGAGCGGTCTTGGAATGCGTAGCTGAGTTTAAATAAAAAGAGACTGAGCAAATAAAAGGCTTCAGTCCAAACCAGTGGCAACCCCAGCCTGGGGAGCCCGGGGTGCTCCCCAGAAAACACTGGAGTGGCAACACCTCCTGTGCTCACATCACCGTGGCCTTAAGGAGAAACCCTGGGGAGACATGGGAGTGAGCAGTATCTGGTCCCGGCAGGGGAGTGAATAACAGCACAGCCCCGAAACACACCGGGCAGGCTGGTGACGCCCCATTTTTCTACAGCTCAGCCCAATCCAGCCACCCTCTGCCTTGGGAGGCTACACTCTGAGCTTGCTCAGGCCAGCTGAGGCTCCCACATCACCTCCCCCACTCCCATCACTTCTAGGAGGAAAGGGAGGCACACAGGTGAAACAACAGGCCCCCTGAAACCAAAATCCAGCGGTGCACCCCTTGGCCTGCTGTGGGCCCCAAAGAAGAGTGAGCCTGGAAGTTCAGAAGAAAGCTGGTCGCTCCACGAATTGTTTCTGATGTGCACAGACAGGTCCTTCGACCAGCCAACAACGCTTCAGCAGGCGCCAAAATACAACCCAGGAGACAGGGCGGGCGGCCAGCTCTTCCCTCAGAGCAGAAACCCGGGTCCACGCTGGCCTCTTCCCACCCACAGGACCAGCGGGTGCTACTGGTGGCCCAAGCCAAACCTCATTATGGACCAGGCAAAAACAGAAGCCCTCCTCCACCCCTGCTCTTCAAAGGCCACGGAGGCACCCCCCCAGGGGCCGAGGCGCCCCCCCAGGGGCCGAGAGCCACAGCAGGAAAGCCAGTCGGTCAGGCCCAGCAACCTCCTCCTCCAGCTCAGCCTGCAAAGGTTTCAGGCCTCTGACTAATGACTATTAATCAACACCAAAGTGGGGTGGATGCTTTCAGTTCCAGAAAAGACCAGGCTTTACTCAGCAGAGCTCACTAACCCTCCACATGCTAGACAAGCAGCCAAAGTCACGTGAGCTCAGGCTCCGCACAGCGCTACTTTTAAAGGGACACAACTGCTGTGCAGCTGCAGGGCCCCGGGCTTTCTTCCACTCACAGGGCATTTCGATTACTCGAAAATCTACCATAGATCTTGGGTACTTACCAGCGGCTCTCGAGGCACCGCATTTTCACTTCCTGGAGCAGAGCCTGGCTGCAGGAAAAACAGAAGCAAAAGTAAGATCACAGCGCCACCCACTGGACAGCACACGCCAAGCGCCTCCCGGGCACCACCCACAAACACCCCTCAAGGTGGGCAACGTGGAAGCAGCAGCCAAGACCGAGCTTAGCAGTGGACAGGAGGAGACTCTGGGTTCCGGTCAGACACCTCAGAAAGGCAGTTCACTCAGGCAGGCCCAACTTCAGCAGCCCAGCGGCAGAGGCTACTGACCATCACAAAGACCAGCACCGCAGGTGGCCGGGCCTAGAGGCCAGGCCCAGAGGCCAGGCCAGGGGTGACAAAGTGAGGGAGATACTTCCTCTCTGCCTTCTCCCCAGCAAGGGAAGAGCAGAGCCAGAGTGGAGAAAAAAATCCAGCCACAAGGGGGCGCCCCACACCCACACTTGGGCTTCTCCAGGCACCTCTTTGGGGCCAGGAAGGGATGGTTGACACAGTCACAGTCACCACGGTGACCAGTGCACAGCAGCGAGAAACCCCGGCTTAAACCCTTTCAGGAGGTGACAGAAGACAGGCAGCAGGGCCCCCATACCCCAAGCTCTGCTCCCCGACCTCAACCTCCTCTCCCCCCACACTGGCCCTCAATCCTGGGTTATCTAGCCAAAACTTGGAGGAGAGACAGACTGCAGGCACTGAGGAAATTTACAAACCTCCAGAAGAATAAAACAAGTACTGGGAGAGTTATAGTTAGTGCACTGACATTCAAGTCAATTTCCAATTATCTGCAGATAATATCCAGACCGTGCAGCTAATCTGTGAGTCCAGGACCAGCCTCCGCGCTTCCGCTAGCCAGTTCCAACCACAAGTGCCAGGTGGCAGAGAAAAGTGTCCGGTCCCCAGAGGGTGCCCGAAGATTTCCTCGCACCACCGACCAGCTCGGCGCTGGCAAGAGCATGACGGCAAGGACTCTGCGGGCAGAACATCGCCGTGCCCCAGCTCGAGAGCCTCTGGGACAAGGTCAGCAGGCAGGGAACAGACGGGAGTCTCAGGGGTCTGAGCAGGGACCCTGCCCACCCCACCTCCTGCCCGTCCTCCCGGCATCAAGCAGCTCGTGCATTCAGATCTCCAGAGTTCTACGTCTCTCTGCCTCGCCCCATGGACCTGACAAGGCGCACAGCGAGTCATGACCTCCGCTGCAGGGCCTCCGCCAGAGTGGCCAGCGCAGTCTCCCCCCGAGGATGCAACCTAGAACCCAAAGCTCCTTCTCCACCACGCTCCACAGCGCCCTCGCTAGCAAGTCCTGCGCCTTCTGGCCCAACAGCCACAGAAGCAGCGGGCCCTCTAACACCTCTATCACCACCACTTGGTCCAAGCTACCAAAATCTGCTGCTGGGCACTGCAGCCTTCTAACCGGGTCACCCACATGATCCCCACCCCCACCCCGGGGCCCCTGCTCCTTTCCAATTCGTTTTCCACACTGCAAGCAGACCGTCATTTCAAAATGCTCATCTAACCATCTCGCCCCTCCCCCAGGAAACAACAGTGCCAGTCCCACAGAAGGAAAAGGGCCCCACGCGTGGCCTGCAGGGCCTTGCACTACTCTGACTGCATCTCAGGGTTCTGAGGCCCTCCTCCCCAGCTACTCCCAAAAAGACAGCGTGCCCCTGCTCCCTCTGACTATGGGACTCCAAGTCCACGCAGTTCCGTCCCTCCCCTCCGACAACGAGCCCCTGCAGCAGCTCCCCGCTCAGCACCGCCTCGGAAGCGCTCCTGACGGCCAGATGGGCCAGCCCACGAGGCCCAGGCAGACGGCAGCTGAGACGGGCTCGGCTCGCAGTGCGGCGCCCTAGACCGTGGCGCCACTGGGGGACCCAGAACGGCAGTTGTACTTGCGGGCTGCACCTGACTGACCAGCGGGTCAGAAACCCACGGAGCGGACAGAAGCCGCAGCACCCCGCGCAGCACCCCGCGCAGCACCCCGCGCAGCACCCCGCGCAGCACCCCGCGCAGCACCCCGCGCAGCAGGGCTTCCACCACCGCTGGCTGAATCAAAGAAAGGAGGGGCGCAGAGCCGGGGGCGGCACCCGGCGGGAGGCACCCGGCGGGAGGCCCCCCGCCCTCGGCAGGCGCAGTCTCCCGAGGACTCCCTTCACTCTTTCGGCAGATACTAAGCGCATTTATTTTGCCCTTCAACTATCACAGGGAAACTGAGGCAAGGGGTCGCCATAACTTGCTCAGCCAACAGCCGACTCCCTTGGGATCTGAACTGGGTTTTGTTTGGACCCCATTTCATTAAGGCCCGAAATGCCACCCCACAAATAACGTGGGCTTTTTAAATTGCATGAAACAAGCTAGTGTAAATAGCTCTAATATTCAGGAAGTCTCCTGAGTTAACCCCAAACTTGCGTTCTGAAATACAGCTAATCACTGTGAATCATCTTCGCCAAGGAACTTCCCTTCTAATTAGCTCACCCCCTGAATAGCTAACATTTGCCAGAGGGAAAACTTTAAACAGTAAAAAGTGCCGAAGACATCTCTCCCATCACAGACACCCTGGTGCCTTTGCAAACCTATCAGTGTGCTCTACTTTAAAACAATTTTTTAATTAAAAACAAACAGGCATCTTCTTTGGTGTGCCAACACTCAGTCCCCACTGGTGCAGGGCCCTTCTGCACAGTGCTGGCCGCAAGGTCCACACCTGCATGCACGCACCCTACAGGGGCGCTTACGCGCCAGACTCTCCAAATCTTTAAGTCTTCAGGGGGCCTCCTGGGTCTCCGCACATTCAAGTGAGGGCACCAGGCTCCACCTCGGCCTGCCAAGCAGCAGCCAGCATTGCTCACACGGTGCCCAAGCTGTCTGGAGCCAGCGAGACCTCGTGCATGAGTCAGGAATTGCCCAACACTGATTACATTCTAGATGATTCTCTAGCACATGCTGAAATTGCTGTCGTCTAAAATGGAATGTCCCCCATTTCCTGCTTCGTGGTCTTCAGAAAACTGTTTCTGGATGTCCAGAATCACCTTCGTCCTCACATTCCACCAGGTTCCCTGATGATCCGCAGGGACACTGGCTCCTGGGTAACTAACTAGCTGTCTCCCCTCAGACGGTGTAAGCACCACAAGGAAGACACCCCACCACCCTACTGAAGACAGGACTCCAGCACTAGGATATCACGGCTGCTCAACGTGCATTTCATTAAAATTTTTAATGACGCTGGCAGAGGACTGACCAGCATCTTTGCAGAGCCGTGCTGTGGCCTGGGGGGTCGTGGGGGGGTGGCTGGGAAAGGCACAGAGCAAGGAATCTAACAGCTCTTACAGCCCTTACAGCCTGTGCATGTGCTGCATCCTGCAACACACACAGGAGGCCGACAGAGGCACAGGCCGTGCCCCCAGCAGTGCTGGGGACAGACTCCCCCCGCTGACAGTTTATCCCAGCATAAAGCCACCCTACAGCCACCCAACAAAGTTTAAAGATAGGACTGAAAAAATCAAAATGAATCCAAAGTCGCTCAATGACGAGGCTAAAGTTCAACACCCTTTAAAGACAGATCACGAAATCCACAACCTCGGTCATGTAAAATTCACAGTACCCAATCAAAATCCCCAGCACATGAAGCAGGAGAGTGTGGCCCAGGAGAAGAAAGAACAAGAAAACAAGTCCTACGACTTTATTCAAGAACTTAAAGGAATTCACGGTCATAGTAAGGAGAGAAAAGAAACACACAAAAAGAAGATTCAAGACATAAAAATATTTCTAGATAAAAATTTCACAGAACTGGAATGAAATGACAGCAAGAAGGCAATCAGGCACGTGAAGAGAAATGGATAAAGATGAAGGACAAAAAAAAATGCCAAATTTATCTGATCTGAAAAAATACTGATGGAAAATGTTCCAAGTCTAATGAAAATTACAAACTCAGAAATCCAAGAAACTCGGTATTGCACAAACACGAAAAGCATTTTACAATCATATTGGGGAAAACCATGAAAAAGGGGGGAAATCTACAAATAGCCAGAATACAAAGTGAGATACTGCCCGAGATTAATCAAGAGTAAGAATAACTTCAGCAAGCCAAAAAAAATCCCCAGTGTAACAGTATCTTTACACTGCTTGTGGGATGCAAATGTCAGCCTATAATCTACAAACAATAAAAACTTTCAAAAATGAATACAAAATAAAGATCTTCTCGAAAAACTGAACCGGGGTCAACAGTACACTTATACAACATCAGAGATGCTTTCAAAAGCGCGCTATGTGGCAGTGAAACAAAACAAGATTGGGAACCTGGGTCTACGCTGAAAAGAATGCTAGAAAAGATAAATATGTTGGTGAATCTAAGTTATTTTAATTTTTTTTAATTTAAAGATAATTTAGATCCTCCCTGGTGGCGCAGCAGGTAAAGCACAGCACTAAGAAGCTAAAGCCACTTCAGCACGAGTTTGATCCCCAGCCCAGAGGTGACCCACATGGCAGCAGACCTCTCCTGGCCCTCCCGCTGCTCCCCTCAGCGGTGTACCTTGCCAGTCGGCCTGTTCTGCTCCCCACTCTGTCTCTGGTGAAGCCTCTCACCGCCCCTGCACCTGTCCTGTACCCCAGTTCTGTGTGCATAAATAAATAAATCGTTAAAAAATAAAGATAATTTAAATGCGCGGGGAGGCTGAGCACATGCAGAAGTCAAAGCTGACTCTGACAGTGAAATGGCTGAGGGGGGCAGGAGGGCGGCACTGCCAGGCCCGGGTATATCAGAAATGTAGAGTCGCGAGAAAGTAGACGTGGTAACTCTGGGTAACATACTGGGAACCTTGGAGCAAATACTAGGAAACAACAATAACAAAAAGTTAGATGTACAGCTAAAACCACAGGGATTATGAAACACACTTCAATGCAAAAGAAGGTAAGAAAGTAGGGTTTGCCAGAAATACCCTGCAAACAAACAGCATCTCACTGGTGAAAGTCTAAGGGGGGAAATGGAATGCCACTCAAACAGTCGTAAGAAAGTTGGAGAGGCGATATTAACCTCAGGCAACTTC